AGCAGAGCTTGCAACGCCCCCTCGTCAAAGTCCACATGCCGACCTGCGCGTGGAGCATCCGTCAAGGTGGTATCTCCGGAACGAAACTTGGCAAACAAATTTTGACACGTGGATTCACCAACAGCTCCTTCTTCGTACACGGCACAAATATTCCTTGCTGCAGCCGCCGCCGTCGAGTCCCGTCTGAACTCATGCAACATGATGTGCCGAAAATGCAGTTTTTGGTCATCCATTACATCTAAAATTAAAATACAGCAAAATATTCCACAAATGAGAGTGACATATCAAAATAATTGCGAGACTGTCGTCTTTCAAACGACATATTGCACAAGTTATCACACAACAGATGCCAAGAAATATAAACGGTTATTGGAGCAATATTCAAAACTCTACGAATATATGCATCAACCCAATAGAAGCAGGGCCGACCTTAGGAATGTGCCACAGTGCACAGGGCGGAAATTCACCCGAAGCGCCAAAACGTTACTGAATATATGAAGCAATAATGGATGCCACCCTCAGTTTTACTTCAGAAAGTGGAAATGCCTTCCGCTTCGGCGTGTTTTTGCACACGAAGGATTGATCTAGGATGATATCAGATTGGAATGGAGAGTGAATTTTCGCGCGAACAAGGATACTTGCCTATGAGAAACCACATTCATATCCGTTCTTCACGTTAACTGGATTATGCTTTAGGCAGCGGGGGGGGGGGGGGGGGGGGGGGGGGGGGGGGGGGCGTTGGGAGTCTCTTTGAACAGGGCGTCGAAATAGCTAGAGCCGGCCCTGATTAGAACGCAGTCATAGTTTTGGAACTATAGGGCGTGTCTTTTTCTCCAGCCGCTAGCGGAAAAGACGCGTTGGCTAGGCACGACCACGTCATCGAATGACGTCACTCTTGGGCAAGCAGCTGGCAGCGGAACATAACGAACTATGGGAGTGCTGAGCAGCTCAGCCTTAACATGACGTCATGGGATGCTGGAGGCCTCAGCAGAGCAAGCAGAGCCGCTAGGAAAAAAGACACGCCCAGAGTGTTTCATGTTAAAAAAAAAAAAACTGAACATGAACTCATTCTTTCTTCTTTACTGTATCCTACCATGTCACAAAGCGTAGAACATACATTGCTATTGAGGAGTTCTCTGGAAAGAGGGCGTATGTGCAAAAGATGCAATTAGAAATAAACTGTAAAAACTTTCCACAGCTAATCTGCAGCTGGTCAAAACTCAGTTTTCAGTCATATGGAATCTTAGACCTTTTTCCAACTGAACTTGGGGTTTTAACGAATTTATTCATCTCACATTGCTAAGTTGGAGGCAGAAATACTTAATGCACATACGCCCTTTTTCCATATCCGCGTTGCTGGAACTCTTTGACCACTTCTTTCCAGTTAAATATCATAATTTACCAAGAAATACATCTACAGATTCCAAATTAACTCTTCTTCGAAGAATGGCAATAAAAGGGTGAATATTCAGGACAAGTTTCATTCACCACCCTTACGGGAACTCCATATTCAGATTTCATGCGAATTATCAAATATGGCCATACAGGGGTGCTTAGCTCGAAATGTACATGGTACAAATAAAGAGTACATATGGGAGATTGTATTTGGAAGCCGTCCAGACCATATCATGTTTTGGCCATTCTTAATGAATATGGAACATGGTTCATATATAAGTCCTGTATATGGTGCTTAGTAGCAATGTATATGGCACATACAAATATTTGGCATGTTTCGGCCATATTTAATATAATGGATATATGTAACTATATATTCTTAATTTGCAATATAGATAGCCCAGCATGCATTATTAAAGGGAGATTGAAGCGGAGGCTCAGAGGCAGTCACTCAACAACTTTAACAAGGGTTTTGTGACTCAAGTCACAAGAGGAACCTCACTCCTTCTATGTATCGGGCAAGAATTACCTGGAGTCCCCTGAAGTTAGGTTACGTCTCTCAACATATTCATTGATTAGAACGATTTCCTTCCTTCGGTTTGTACGTGGGAAATTATCAAGTTGAGGGTGAAAGCTTCTGCAGAATCATTCATTAGCATTTGGGGAATCGGGAGACATATAGCGGCGGCAGGAGCGCGACCTCGCTTATATTGTGAGAACTTTTTATTTATTGAGCGAACTGCAAGATGTCAGGCCATATGGAAGGTCTAAACGTGCATGTGCATCCATGGACATTACATGGGCTGAACAGTTTCCAAATATATTCCAAATACAGTACTTTTTCCGTATAGTTTATATTAGTGTCATATACATTGCAAACCTAGCACCATATTTGGGGGTCTGTATATGAACCATATATAGTTCCATATTTATTAAGAATGGCCAAAACATGATACGGACTGTACCGTTTCCAAACATGGCTATATTCAGTACTGTACAATCCTATACATACGCCTGTATTTGGAAGTTCCGTAAGGAAACTCATCAGTGATCCATTATTAATTTATTAATCATCTGAATCTCCAACTGTTTCATGGATTTCACTAACTTTTCGTATCCTTCCAGAGGCTTTAATGACTGGGCTACATACTTCTCCTTTCCTCCTGTCTGGCTTCTTCCTCATTCTCACTTTCAGTGCGAAAGAATGGAATTATTCCACCAAAATATTCATGGAGGCAGCCATATTGAAATTGTCAGGAAGTTGGCCTGCTACATACTGAAAACTTAGGAAAATCTGCTTCTCCTTTGCCGAATAAGCATTTGAACTTCCTGCTGACCACCCTATCCTATGACAAGTCACCTCAAGCAGCGTATGGACACGGCGTAAGGGCACTTACGCCCTTTTTCCAAAGAACTCAATTAAGTCATGGTAACTGCCTCTGTCAGGCTGGCTTTGACTTGTGCTAGCCACTTCTTCGATTTCCTCCACTGTCCCATGATGCCTTTTGAGTAACGCCATGATGTTTTCAAAGGTGTTGATGCGGCACAAAAAAAAAAACGAAGTACAAATGGCCGACAGAAGACTCTCAATTTGCATATCTCGTCATCTCCCGATGAAAAATCTAACTACAACGCAGACTCATGAATGTGACGGATATATTAAGTGAAACCCATGGCAGAACGGGCAATAAAAAACCAATGATGTATATGTCCGTTATACCCGCCAGACGGTATAACAAATTCTTGCCGTGGAGAATCAATCCAAACCCTTGAAACTCGAATTGATTTCCTGGCACACTGTTGGGAGTTCGTGCACCAAATTTCATCGGAATCGTTGAACTTCATGAGTTGAGCGCACTTCGTGCTCACTCTACGACAGCTGGAAGAATGGATACTCGAGGATGCAACCTCCTCACGGTTCATGATTCCCCTCTGAAACTGGACTCACAAGCTGCCGCACGATGGTCACATTCATACCAAGGCGATGTGCGTTTATATGCGTGCTAAGACTTGTCTCCATCGGCCAACCAGCAGTTCTCTATCAAATTGGCCAAATTGACGATATTAAGCATTTAACAAAGGCATAGTATTAATAGCGAGGCGGATAAAAGGAAGAGGATGGAACTGATGATATCAGTGATGCCACTCTCTTCCGTAATCTGCTTTAAGTGTCAATATCCCTTTTATTTTTTATCTGTCAAGATCCTGTTTACCCGGAATCGTTAGTGTCATTGGGAACGCGAAATTTTACTCTGCTTTTTGTAAAACATGAACTGTTCAATGAACATGGTATTCATTTTCATGAAATAGTTTGGTTTTTTTTGGAACAGGAATGAGGTGATCTGATGCGAGAAAAAAAGTTTATTTCAGCATACTATAAAGTGGCGAGCAGTTGAAACCGGTGTAACATTTTTGGGCAACTCAACTTACTTGCCACCCAATGAACCTGGGACTAGCCTTTTACAACAGATATTGCTACTTTAAATGAAACCACTGACAAGGCCCTCGCGAACAACTCTCCCGGCTTCTCCAATCCTTCCATTATGCTTTCAGCTCTGCAATCTCACATCATTTAGACCAGAGGTGTGCAACTTTAATTGGCAGTGGGCCGCATGGAAATGTGTGACTCCTGACGCGAACCACAGAATGCAAAATAAAATGCACCTCTTTTTGCCCTCAGGGCATAAGAGGGCATGAGGTCGCGCTGATTGGCAGATGATCCTTACCTCCTCCCCACCAATAGGATATTCCAACGTCCAAAAATAGTCTTCGGCATTGAGGACCTTCCTCTGGACATATGTAGAACCACCCGCGTGAGGAAAAATTAGAAGTGAAAGGACTCAGTCTATTTCTTGTTACTAAGGGATGGCCAAAATTGTGATGGGCCTTCGGCCGCAAAGAAACTTTTCTGTTATCCTATTATGCATTACCGGGCCGCAAGAAGCAGGTCCACGGGCCACATGTGGCTCGCGGGCCGCGGGTTGCACATCCCTGATTTAGACGATGACCTCATGCTTTCGAGCTACATCTGGGATTCCGTCCCTTATTCATTTTTTAAACCAAGATGGTGTATAATTAAGGTTGAAATATTCTCTTGCCTGGTTGGGTGACGTGGAATTCATTTGGCATCGACAAAGAAATGTATTTTTTAGTTAGCGTGTACTCATTTTAAGAGTTCTAAATAATTTATTGTAGGAGATATGATTCTTTGAAAAATAGAAAAGCAGCGATTGGGCAGGTCGCCATTTTTGTAACCCTCCAATTGAGATTTTTTCCCCCAAATTATTGCAGATACAAAGATAAATAATATATCACAATTCGTCACATGGATAGCAGCATCACTTTAAAATAAAAAAAGAAATCGAAGGTTAAGTTATGACTAATTATTTTCGGGCTGCCTGACTTACATTGGAACCCGCCAATATTCGAAATTTGCTCCTACACGATTTGCCACGAGATACTCTCCCACAGGATCAGGAAGAAATTGCTGTTTATTCATTATTATCCAATGTGCTATTTTGGCTCCACATCGTATTTAATCCATGGATTTTTGACGATACCAGATTCGATGCTTAAGTTCAGGTTATGTGCGTCTCCCGCACTAATGCAACATGACGCCCCCCAGCTCACAGCATGGCCTTTGGTTTGAACACGTGAGTAGGCATGGTCAATTGGGGTCATGTGAGGCGGTTAGACCTGCATTATCGTGATAGTTAATGCATTTGAAGTCGTTTCATATGCAAAGTTAAACATATGATTGGCTTAATGCTATAATAGAGTCCGAGTCGAAAATCATGGATTTTGAAAGTTTTCATCGGCCCATCCCCGAGAATTTGCCCAAGTCCTGGTTCGAGTTTTTGCTCAGTCCTGAACTCCTGACTCAGCATTTGCGACAACCAAATCCAGGTAATAGCACTATCTTACCATAAAATCGTAAATCCTCAGGTATTTGGTCGATAAAGTTGTCTTAACATGATGACTTAATATGTTAGGCCAGGCCATCCAAATAGAAACCTACATCCTAACTTAGGCTCTGCCTAACAAGTTAGGCCTAGATCTAGGCCTCCTCTTGATGTAACTAGCCTGCCTGTCTTCTTTGTATTCAATCACTTTTACCAAGGTCCATTGCACTGAATGTTAAGCCAGTCCTACCCTCAATGACTGCCTGGGACATAATTGATGGAAGACTTATGAAAATCTTGATTTTTGGTTTGCAGATCCGTCACCCTATGACTTGATTGAAGAATTCCTCAAGAATGCATTTCAGAAAGACTTGGAAGTTCAGAGCAAAGGAGAAGAAGCTGGTGATGCTTCAAAGAAGGAGCCCATTGGTGATGATGCCCCATCTGTGAAAAAATCTGAAGCACTGAGGCTTCTTGCTGTCAAAGTTGCATCCTATTTGGAATGGGACCTTGGCAAGCTCATGGATCGGTAAGCTACCATTCATACACCAGTATATATATATATATATGTATATATATATAATACCAGGGCATGACATCTCTAATATAACACTGTCTTGAGTGATGAATTGTTTCTGTTTCTTGTAGGTTGAGTCTTCCTATCCAACAGAGTCTCTTGGAGGACTTGGTATCTTTTACCACAGGACAGGCATTTGTGTCCATAAATCATTCTGAAATAAGCCTGAACTCATACTCAGCACATGAATGCTGTGCACTCTCACTTTATCATCGATGGTGTCTGATGGCTTTGCGGAGGAGCAGCTATCCTGCTAGACCCATGAGACCCTCTGCCATCCAAGGGTATAGCTTCCTCTCTTTCAAAAGGAAAAAAACATTTCTTGTCTTGCATTATGTCTTCCATTTTCCTAGGCCTGGACAGAACAATTCTCAAAATTATAGTGGGATTTTGAGCCAGGAGCAGGTACTACAGCTGCTGGATCAGATGGAGCCATTGTCTTTGGAGATCTTGCAACAGATGGCTGGGCAAGATCTTCCTATTTCACTCCCAGTGCCAGAATGCTTCAATATGCTGCATCCTGATCGACCCTCTGCAGAACATGACTGGTCAAAAGCTATTCCAATCCCTCTTACAGAAGCACATTGCCAGGTCAGATACCCACCCAATCTGAGTTAGTATTTCAACTTTTTATACCTAGGCCTAACATTTTCCTTGGATTGAAAGTTACTGCGTGCCATTTTATTATGAGAGCTTCCTTCACTACACTGTTTCACCCTTCCATTCATCACTATTTATTTGCAGCTTTCCTATGATTTGGGCATTCACTTCTTCTTCGTGGAGCGTTTTGCCGAAGCAAAGAGTGCATTCAGGCTTTGCCTTGACAAGCGTGCTCAGATCTCATCCCCTTCAAAGTATGTGCACATTGATGAGAAGATTCTTGAGGGACATTGCATGGCTTTAGAAATTCCTCATGTTGCCTCCAATGATGCCAAAACCCCAAAGTCATCACTTCGTACTAGACTTTGGGATGCTCTTAACCAAAGGGATGAGGTGTGGTTTATTTCCTTTTTGTTCTTATATCTTTGATCTTCATGAAAAAATAATTTAATATAATTTATTTTTAAATTATAGCAAGGATTGCTAGAGACACTAAATGAGGACAACCGACTCCAAGAATTACGCTCAGAAACAAGAGAGCAGCTAGAAGATATCATGCGAGTTACATGGAGCCCAGAGTCGATTCTGTCCGTACAAGTTTCCAATTCTATTCGTCGAGCATTGGACAGTCACCTGAGCACCAAGAGGTTTGACCTTGTTGTGAAAGGAAGAGAAAGAGCAAGTGCAGAAAGTCTCATCAAGGTAAGTGCTATTATTGTGCTTTGGCCAGGTGTGTGCAGACTTTGATGCAGTTGGAGGTATGGGGTCCCTTAACTTTATTCACTTCAGGGAGTGAAGACAGTGCTACCAGCAATTTCCCAAGAACATAGGCTGAGGCTCAAGCATTTCCTTCAGTTCTTATTCATCTCCAGTTCCAAAGAGTTCATCAGGGAATTGAGTGCTGCAACCCAAACCTCTTTCCCCATTCTGTCCCTGGTTGGAGAGGATGTTGTGAAGAGAGCTGATGCTCAATGGGCACCAGAGCCACAGTTGATTGCAACTGGATGGGATGATACCAAAGATTTCACAGGTAGGACAATGCTGTCATATCATTTTATTGAAATAGCATGAGAGCAGTTCAACCTCTGCCCTATTGATCTTCAGTTCAGCTCTTCATGGCCAGTGCCAATGAACAAATAAGCATCACTCAGCTTAGGTAGAGTCCATTGATTGGGAGATCTAATTATTATTAGACTAATCATGTTTAGTTTTTATTGTGAATAATTGTTATCATTAGTGCTGATTAAGTGATTGCATTCAATCAAACTAGCAACCCAAAATCAGGCATGTTGGTGTATGAGTATGGATGCAATTCTTCAACAGGTGGGATCTATGAATTGGAAGTTTCTGAATCAATACAGACTCTCATAGCATCATACGACAACACTGTCATCCGAGACCTGATCCTCCACATTGGAAATGCTGATCCCAAGTCGGCAGTTAGAAATGTCAATGGACAGGTCTGTTTTCTTCTTTCTCTCATCTTGAAACAGGTAATTTGAGGTGTTGAAAGTGGGATTTTAAAATTGATTTTGATGGTATTGGTTTCAGTGGGAAGTGCCTCCTGCTATCCAGAGCTGCCTAGATTCTATGGGCTTGGGATTCTTACCAGATTTCATCTTTATCATGGTTGCTAAGGCCAGAGAACTTGTTCTTCTCAAGGTCAGTCCCTGCAATGTTCTCAAGGATCTCAAATAATTGTTGTAGCTACTTGAAAACTTTTTGCTGAATCTCACAAGAGTTATATTTACTATTGGCATGAATTTGCAATCAGGCTTGAAAAAGGTTTACATCAGTTTTGATTATATTATAGAGTTATGGAGAAGCGAAGTCGCTCCTGGATATAGTTCTACAAGAAGTCCGAAACATTGGCCCAAAAATGGGCTTCAAACTTCGTCAGCTAATCAGTTGGGAGCGCTTACTTGTGGACATCACTGCCTACAACACTGCTTTTCCTAACAATTCTGGAACTGGTATAGCTCTGCAATATTTACAGGATCTAATGAGTATATTCATGGATATGCAAATACACACTATATCTGATGAATGTGACAGCACTGAAGGAGACATTAGAAGGAGCAAGGGGTTGCCTGACAACAGCAACACGAGGGGGTGATGCAGTGTTACCAAGGCCTGAACTTGTGGAGCACTGCTGTGCCTTTCTGTTGAATCAAGCTGACTGGGGTTTCTTGGCAGCCATGAAGGCCAATTGGAGCATGCTGGAATTATCTGCTGCCCTTGCAGCCGTATGCTTTGAAGTAGCAGATTCTCGCCATGAGATGGACTCCAGACACCAAAGAATCTCTTCTTATTGTCTATGGGACTTGAGTAAGTCCTGGTTTCTCCCAGTATTTCATTGGTTTCTCCCAGTATTTCATTAGTTTCTCCCAGTATTTCATTGGTTTCTTAATTATGACCAGACTTCAATTTTCTTCATCATTATGCAGTATTGCCCCTTTTCTGCATCATCCAACCACGTCGGGGGATGGAAGCAGCAGCCACAGCTGCATCCCTCTCACGAGCTGCACTTCAAGTTTTCATTAGCCACCTCCATCATCACCTTGTCATAGGACTTCTCATATCCTGTCTTACTCGTCTCTTCAATATCCTCAAGGATGAGCCATCCCTTGAGGTGACTCTGGAATATGCTCAAATCTGGCCAAATGTTGTCAGCAAGTATGCCCTCCACTTTCTTGAAGTAGCTGTAGAATTTTTGACCACACTCCAAATGAGGGTAATTTTTATTTCTACTAGTCCAAATGGATACTGCCTGGATTCAGTCACAGAGAACCTGAGACTAGTCCTTGATCGAGCCCTCTCCCTTTATCCTTCTCACATTCCATGGCTTCATGCCAAGGCATCTTTCCACTATGGTCAGCATTCAGTTCTCATGTACTCTTTTTGTATTTAGTGATGAATACGAAACCATAAATGAACCAGGTATAAAAATTTAATTCCTAGCCCTGTATCAGTATGTTCCTTGCTTGAGAACATACCTCCTCATTGCTGAAGTTGCATCTGAGTACTTTGTGAAACCCATTCCAAAGAATATTCTTGATGATTCTACCTTGAAGCGAATGATCAATTCATGCAGTCAGCTTCAATACTTCACTCAGGTCGGTTGTGGAAGCTTTATTTTTCATTGCTCTCCTGCTCCCTCCTTTGTTAGTATTTCTGCATTTTTCCTTCCACTACAGGCAGCTGTGTTATGTCAGTTTTTTGATGATGTGGACTACAAGAGGGCCTTTCAATGTTTGAGTGAGAAATATTGTGTGGATGCGGGGGATGAATATTATGACTACATATGGGATATCACCATATTGGAGTTCCTCATCCACCTCCACCATAAGAAAGGAGAATGGCAAAAGAAGCAGAAAGTGGTCAGTTCCATATCCATATTTCAGATTTGAGTGAGGAGTGAGTATTCATGGTTCCCACAAGATGCATTTTTATGCAGTTAAAGCTGATGGGGCGACTGGATTTGAACAGCAACAATCCAGATGAAATCCGAAAGGAGGCAGAGAATCTCCGCAGAGCTAAGTTTCTCCGGGCCCTGTCTGCACACCTCACCTGATGTCTGTGAAATTGTCTCTTGTTGAGTATCAATAAAGGTACATATCTTTTTAGCTTGCATGGCTAAAGTTCTACTCTTGTGCATGGCATTGGCAATCTCATAAAGATAATTTTGGCAAGAGTCAAGATTCCATTGACAGAAGTAAGGTTTTTCTCTGAAAAGTAAGAACTATAGAATCTTCACAAATGTCTGGGCCATATCAAACTGCAAAGCAAGCAGCAATTGCTTCAACTCAGAGCTGGCCAAGTTAAACTTTCTTAAGTATTCAAATTCAGTCCACATCACCATTGATTTTAAACAATGAATATGAATTTAATTCCTAAGGGGATCATTTTGAGACAATTCACGATCAGAATGTATCTTTTGGAACTTTCTAACCTATGTAGAATCTTGAGTTTCAAGAGGCATCAATTTTCTATTCAAAGCAAACTCTTCCGTGGCTGTCAAGCTCACGAAGCAAAGACTGACGACTGAATACAAACGCAGAGTCCGCCTCGTACTGAAGACCGAGCTGTCCGGCAAAAACAAGATCTCTGCCCTCAACAGCCTTGCCACCCCTGTCCTTAACTACAGCGAGTTATCGATTGGTCACCTACGGAACTCCAAGCCATCGATCGAGCGATCAGAAAACTCCTGACCATGCATCACACCCACCATCCGAAGGCTGCCGTTGAGAGACTCTACCTTCCGAGATGCAAGGGAGGGAGGGGACTCATCGAACTCGAGTCCCTCTATAAGCGGACGACGTGCGAAGTCGCCAGATACATCGAAAGGAAGCAGGGAAGACTCATTTCCATCCTGAGAGAGCGAGATGCCCTGAAGAAGTCCCACTCCATTCAGGGAGATGCCACCCGCTTCCGAAAAGCACTCCATCTCCATGACGACTGCGACACGAAGGATGTGAAGACGGCAGATCAAGGACAGAGAGAAGCACGATGGAAGGAGAAACCGCTTCACGGCCAGCATCCCAAGATCATGGATAAACCATCGATCGACTCGGACGTCAGCTATAACTGGCTGAAGAAGGGACTGCTGAATGCCGAGACAGAGAGCAACATCCTAGCCATTCAGGACCAGTGCATTAGAACTCGTAACTACGAGAAGCACATCCTGAAGCTGGATGTGGAAGACCGCTGCAGATGCTGTCATGGACCACCCGAAACGGTTCACCACCTCCTCAGTGCCTGCCCCGAACTAGCCCCGAGGGAGTACTTGTATAGGCACGACCAAGTGTGCAAGTATGTGCACTGGTGTGTCTCAAAGCAAGCCGGCCTGGA